ATTGCTCAGTTTTTTTCCCCTGTTTCTTGCAGTCATGAATTTTAGATCCTCTTCGTCTGTTGTCGATAGATTTTTAAGGCCTACCACTTTTTGTTTTCTAATCATCCCGTCTTCTCAAATCTTTCCAGGGCACACTTGTGCTTGAATGATTCCTAGGTCACTGTTGAGTGGCTTAATAAATCTTCTGAAACTAGTCAGGTAAAAGAAGCCAGTGTCCAAGGAAAAACTCTGACAGCCCTTTAGAAAGCCTGGGGTACTATTGCTCAAGTCCACAACAAAGTCAGGCTCCTTGGAAGCAAAATATAAAGAAATGTAGGGTGGCTCATGACTTTTGCACAGTGCTGTAAACTTATCAGATATTAATGTCTGCATCAGGCGTTCAAAAACACTGGTGCACAACCACACTCACACACACTTAGAGGAATGTTTGTGAGTGGGAGTTGAGGTCAAACTTCACTATCACGGACTGTGTTGATGTATTCGGTTTCTATACAGGCTGTCTAAGGCAGGCTAGCTGTTTAACAGTGGCTCCATTCATTCTGCTGGAAAATAGGGCCACTGACACTTAAGGGCCTTTGACGCAACTTAAATGAACATTAAAGCATTTTAAAGGGGCCGATCACCTTCCACTCATCTCCTGCGTATGCTTGTAACGTTGCACATACCCACTTTGGGGTGAGGATCATTCAGTGTTGTGATTTGTTTTTTGTTTTTTTAAATAGGAATGATAGGACATTGATATTATTGTTTGTGCACATGGTCGCTAATGGATAGATAAATGAATATAAGAAAGTGATCTGCAAACATTATATGCAGATATATGCTAAATGTGCCCGCATTTTATTTGAAAAAATGATTCTTACTCCTATACACCGCTGACTTTTCCAAAGTATCAGTGGAAGTGCATTACAGCGAGAACAATGAAAGGCAGTTTCTCTGAAATACTGTAACATTCTGCCCGACTTTATCCAGATTTATCGTCACCTACTTTACTATAATCACTAAATCCCATTTCAGTTTCAGCACCATAATGATTAGACAAATGTAAAAGTCCGAATAAACTATGAATCCTTTGAATAATTAAAACATTTTCATGCATTTCCATTACAAAAAAGTGGCTATCGAGGGGCTTCCCCAGAAGTGGATTTACTTTACTTTTCCTCCTGGTTTCCTGAGAAACCTTTTAGACTAAGTAAGGGGTAAACATTAAAATATTCATGTATCAATTAAATCTGTAGAAATTAATCTAATAAATATAACCTGACAAAGCTATTACAGGCTCTTAAATAGTAGAAGTTATTATAAGGATAAATCCTGCAGGGCATTTTATGGCTGCTGATTGCAGTAGTTCTGACAAATGCAAATGTATAGGGCTGGACAAGGAAGTAGTATCACTGACCCTTCTCAGCTATGAATAAATTATTTACTTTAATTTCAGTGTCATACTTTAGAAGTATTGAACTCTTTTTGTCTTAGATAGCTCGCTGCAGTTTTAAGTGATCTTTTGATTCCTTTTTTATGTAGATTAACATTTTCAAATTTGGGAACTGATCTTCAGTCTGCGAGGGTGGGAATATTTCAAACTTAGTCACAAAAAAAACCCAACATTGGTAAGATAAGATAGCCTCTTATGATCTGTCTCTATGACCAATTTAGAAAGACAGTGGCCCCAACTTGTAGTGAGAGAGAAAGAGACACTTACTGTCAATTTTCCGGCGGCTGGGCCTTTACCTGTGGGGCACAGTGGGAACGCTGTGAGGCCGGAAACTGCAAAGATAGCCATAAAGTTCAAGTGGAGTGTAAGCTTGGACACTGGGGTGAAAAAGAAGAGCCCAATGGCCAACTGGTCACCACCGAGGGGTGGGTTCGACTGCTCTGTGGAAATGGAGAATTCTTACAACCACATTCCTTAGGGAGTTTTGTGTTTAGTACTTTGGGTTTATGATACATGCCGACCATTCCTGCCTGACAAGCCTCCAGTTTGAGAACATTAGAGTTTCCTCTCTGCTTTTTGGGTTTCTTCCACTGGCTTTATTTGACATGTGACCTTCAGGGTGCATTGGAGTTGAACATGTTCTTATAGAGAACAATGGATCGCTCTTTCCAAGTTAAGAATGAGCTGCTGCTCAAAGTTGAAGAGCCATATCTTTCGGTCGTGTACATGTTAGATGCTTATTCCAAGTCCAATTAATGTGAGAGCTGGGAGATGACTGAAAACACGCTGACCAGAGCATATGTATATGTTATTACTCCTCACTGACCCCTAACTTAGGCTTGGATAATTATCTAGGAGATTGAAGAAGTCATGCTTCTCCCACTGAAGAAAAGGCTACTTTTATGCATCAGTCTACTGCTACAGTATCTACTGGCCTTCACATTTTTACAGGCGTGTCCCTATAAATGTTTCAAAAAAATATATTTTTTAATATGGAAGAGCTCATAAAATTGCTTTGCTTGCCCTGGGTAGCAGTGTCTTGTCTGGGGCTCTCTAATTGCTCTGAGTCCACCCCCTGAACTGCAAATCCATTTTTACAGCTTGCATTAGCATACATAATGCTGCTCTGTGGACTCAACGAGTCATGCCAATTGAAAAGCAATCATTTTCACAGCAGAGCTCTGCCATCGCCACTTTAATTGAGTGTGAGAGTACTTGGGTGTCTATGTGCGTTGCCTTGTATCATGAGACGGGAGATAATTGGTTGTGCAATACAACACAGCAATATGTTGGTAATTCAATGATTAGAGCTGATTGCTTTTGTCTAGTTGTGTCCCATGGGGTGACACGTGTTTATGTTGGCCACATCTTTTCTTACTGTCTGCGCTATATCTGTTACTGCCTCACACACACACTCATTACACTCACCCACTAAAGAGAGAAATATTCCCTCCCAATAATAAATAGAGCCGCATGCTAAAACATGAGCTTGGAGAGTTCATACACACTGCTATAATAAAGAGCAGAATTGTTCTTTATATGAGTGCCCCACTGTTTAGTGAAAATGAAACCCAATTATCGTATCTTGAGTGGGTCCCCAGAATTTCATGACTGCTCTTCATAAAATTTGTGTACAAACTGCTTGTTTCCATGAGAGCTGTTCATGTTAGAATATCCATAAATAGGGGGGGG